CGGCCGGGAGCCACCTCGGCGCGGGCTGGGCGGGGAGGAGCGAGCGGCCCCTCAGCGCCACCTGCAGCTGCCGCTGCCCCGCACGTGGCCGCTCCCCGCCCCCGACAGCCGGCCCCCGGGAAGCGGCAGAGAAGAAGAAATCGATGCCGCCTGCTTTGGGGCTTTTTACAGGGGCAGGCTGCGAGCCCGGCGGCAAACGAGAGCGGCTGTCTGGAACAAAAGCCCGCCTTGCTCAAGCCGGGAAGCCGGAGTGCAGCGCGGAAGGCGAGGCGGCGCGCCCCGGGGTTAGCGTAGCAAACGCTCCGGTTTGTGCTTGGCCGAAGCAGTGAGTCCGGCCCTGAAAGTCTCGGGAGAAAGGGGCCTGGAGGTAGCTAGTGCCTGTGTTAGGGGCGTTTTCTTCTTCCGCACGATGGGAAAGGCTGCTGGGGTGCAGGGGATGGGACCAGAGGAGCGTCTGAAGTGACAGAACCGCTAGTTCGGGCGGCCTTACTACCAGGTTTCACCTCCGGCAAGCACTGAGCGTTGTAGCTTTCCTATATAAAGGGATTTAGAAAAAGAAATATCATTCAACGATTTTATTAATACATTTGCTGATCCCCTAAACAGTAGTGGACCAGGATCTTGTTCCTTAACGGTGGCAACAGGACAAAGGAGAAGCCCTCTCCACTTCCTTTCGCCGGGTATCTTAAGAGCTACTTAGCCCCCAAGGTGTGGGCGCCGCATGTTCAAACTCCTGTGCCGAGGATCCGGGAGCAGGGCCCGGGGTGTTCGAAGGTGAGGATCTCAGTCCTTCCTGTTGCAGCAGCGCTTGGACCGGTACCTACATACAGCATTTGTAGATCCAAACAGACAATGACCGACTACAGCTCTGTGGTTGGGGTTCGCCACCTCTCGCCACTCATCTCCGCTGCCAGTCGGTGACAGGGCAGCAGCGAAGCTGCCAAAGTCCTGCCAATTTCCAGCTGCACCTGCCGGCAGCAAATTTCATGTTGGAAACCATTGGTTGGTGCTTCCTAAAAATGAAATATGACAGGACTTTAGTTCCAAGGAAGTTTTGGAGTTTGGGCTTTTTCTCCGAATTTGGGATGAAAAGTTTCCAGAGCTCAAAAATTAGCTTGGAATAGAAATACGCTTTTGCTAGCTTGCTGGAAAAAGAGCAGCATGCAACGGGATATACTAGATGGGAAAGACTGTGGGACGATTCACTTATTCGCAGGGAGGAGCGAATGATCAGTCTAATCTCCTGCATAACACTGGTCACAGTGACCCCAAATCTCCTTTCCCAAGCCCTCCACTCCTGCAATTTCCATTTAAATTGGGAAGCTGAAATGCTCTTTACTTTCTTTTATCCTGTTGCCGAAATTATATTTTCATGAAGCAATAGCACCACCAAGTGATCTTTTGTACAAATAACTTGTCATGTTGCACACGTACGAGTTAAGTCAGAGGCAATTTAAGCCAAGTATCTTATTGAAAAGGACCAGACAGTGTTCATTCGGAAGTGACATTATCTGACTTGGAAATGCACAAATTAGAAAAACACCGATTTTGATACCTGCTAAATGCATTTAGGACGTGTTCTGTCAGTGTGCAGCAGTTGCCAGGCCTAAGCCATCAGCATTTTACACTCCGACATACTTCAATAGCACTGCACATCCTCACTTGCAACCGCTGAGCCGGTAGCAGGCTGGCCTTTGTTTTACTTGCAGGGCTACAATTTGTAGAATTGCCCTAGGCCTCCTGAAAGGAGCTTGTGGGCATCAATTCCACCAACAATACTTTCTCTCAACCCCCCTTGCCTGGTTTCAGAGCCTACCTCTTTTGAATGTTTTAGTTCAGCTGCAGTCACCTTCCCCAAGCCATCCAAGTATAGATTGTGACTGGTTCTCTACTGCATTTGAGATACAAATCATGCGCGTCTCTGCAGCTGCTGAATGTGGGACAGTCGCCGGCATCTGCCAGCCAGGAACCACCTGCTTATGGAGGTACATACAGATGAGCAGAGAGACATTCCTGGGCGTGGGAGACATGGTAAAGCACTTATCCAAACAGCTTCTGCAGTAAACAACTAACTACTACCCAGTTACAGAAAAAACCAGAACACCCCAATCGACATTTAATCTAAGGCTATCTGACTCAATTTACTTATAGCAAAATGCAAGTTAGCTTTATTTAACTGTGCAGTCAAGCGTATGATACTGCTAGGTAGGAATCTGTCTAAAGCTTCTTTTGCGAGGTTTTTAAAAACATTTTTGTTAAGTGAATTTCACATTCTCAGAAAGGGCTTGGGGGCTAATTGTCCAGAGACTAAAGCCCCCTGTATCTGGAATAGATGTAAGCACAGACACAATGACCCAAGGCAGTACAGCCTTACCCCTGCTTTGGGTGGATCACAGAATCAGAAAAGTAGAGCTGGAATGGACCTCAGGAGGCCTTCTAGTCAGGCCGGCTTAGCAGCATGGTATCTTTGGGTTATTTGTCCTTTAGCAACTGGAGTGCAGCATCAGATACCAATTACTTCAATATACTCCTACCCTGCAAAATTTGTGAGTATTTTTCCTAGGGGTATAAGGGTCTGCCCCACTGCCAGGAAATAGCCCAATTATTAATTCAAAAACTTCCCTAGTAGGACTTGGTTACAATAATCTTTTCTCCTAGGCTGCCTAAGTAGCATGACATAAAACTTAACCTAAACACCCTTAAGCTCAGTCCCTTCATCTCCCTCAGCCTCTCCCAATAAGTCATGTGCCCCAGCCCCCAAACTTTCTTCACTGCACTCTGCTAGACTCTCTCCAATTTGTCCACATCTTTTCTATAGTGGGGGGCCCAAAACTGGACACGATACTCCAGATGTGGCCTACCAGTGCAGAATAGAGCAGAATAATCACTTCCCTCGATCTGCTGGCAGTGCTCCTATTAATGCAGCCCAGCATGCCATTAGCCTTCTTCGCAACAAACACTTTTGGCTCATATCCACCTTATTGTCCACTGTAACCC